GACAAACTGGAACATGTCCAGAGGAGGGCAACCAAAATGGTCAAAGGCCTGGAAACGATGCCTTATGAGGAACGGCTAAGGGAGCTGGGCATGTTTAGCCTGGAGAAGAGGAGGTTAAGGGGTGACATGATAGCCATGTTCAAATATATAAAAGGATGTCATATAGAGGAGGGAGAAAGGTTGTTTTCTGCTGCTCCAGAGAAGCGGACACGGAGCAATGGATCCAAACTACAAGAAAGAAGATTCCACCTAAACATTAGGAAGAACTTCCTGACATTTAGAGCTGTTCAACAGTGGAATTTGCTGCCAAGGAGTGTGGTGGAGTCTCCTTCTTTGGAGGTCTTTAAGCAGAGGCTTGACAACCATATGTCAGGAGTGCTCTGATGGTGTTTCCTGCTTGGCAGGGGGTTGGACTCGATGGCCCTTGTGGTCTATTCCAACTCTATGATTCTATGATTCTATATGTAACGTTTTCTTGTAGTTTGTTCAGCTAATGACTATGCAGCTTGGAAGCTTGCATGCCTTTATAGCAAGAATGGGGAACCTCAGAACCCTGGGGCAAATGTTGCTCCCCCAGGCCTGTCTACCTGGTATTTGAGGCTCTTCTCAGGCATTACTCCCTCCCTAGACCCGACCCTTTACAACCCGAGGGTGTGACTCAACAAAATCTGGGCCTGTCTCCAGCTGACTTGGGCGAAACCCAGATCCCTCCAAATCAGTCCAATCTACCTTGCCCTTAGGACTCTGGCTGAATCCAGTGCACATCCCTAATATTTTCCTTCATAACACACGTTTAAAAATGTGTTTTCTCTCAAGGAAAGCATTTCTAAAGTCTTAGGAAACAGCATCCTATTTCCATTTCCTTTCCATTTCATGTCTGCTCAGATCTTCTGTTCCATCTCCTTCTCTGTGGGGTGGGGCATTCAATGCACAAAAGCTTAACATTTAAATTGTACACATTTACACACATTAAATATTTTTTTGTGTGTGTGCATTTCTCGAAGTACTGCAAAAATTCAGGGAAGCATTCTGATTGGTAGTTATGTTCTGATCTACGCAGAAGTCCAGAACTGGTGAAATGGGTCAGCGGATTGTAAAAAAAAAAAAAAGTGGACAAATGATGTTCTCCTCTTCCCCATTCTAAATATATTTTGACTTTTGCTTGTTTTTTTTTTAGTCAAGAACTGCATTAGAACATTGAGAAAGTGTGAAATTGTGTGAATAGTTCAGCTCCAAATGGCATCTTACTCCAGGAGCTACAGATCAGGTTAGTTTGTACCAGAATTTGTAAAGATCACATTTCTTAAGCCTCCCCATCTGAAATCTGCAGCGTTTTAACAGAAACCAGAGAGGTAGCTGAATAAGACATGCTGTTACTATCCCACCAGACCTTGATTGACGTGGTCAGCAGATTGCATGCAGAGCCACATGGAAGTATGAAAAATTAATCCAACACTTGAGCCTTGGTTTGTTAGCAATGTCACGGGTCAGCTCCTCTGTAAGCATAATCCGATCAGGTTCCAGTGCAGTCAAGGCACCAGAACAGATGCCCTCAAACTGAAACCTTGCTCTATATTTCAAAGTAGGAGGGTTCCTTGAGCTATTTGGACACACACTGCTTTCCATTAGGGAATATTGCCTAAAAATGGGTATATTAATAGAAATTAGCCCTAAAATGCTGGTGAGTTTTAATGGGGACTTGAAAAAGAAATCCATAAACTGATTTGGAGTACTGCCCTTAAAACTGGAGAATTGGGGAGAAGGTGACATGAGCAGAGTTGCCCTGCCACCCCCTGCACATGCTCAGGTTGGTGTCCTTCAAAGAACACGTCAGAAGGCAGTTCCTCTTTCTTCTGATATATGAAAGGCAGCTGCGTCAATTGGCCCCAAGGTTGACATGGAAAAGTTAAACGATAAACCTTCATCACCATTATTTGCAAACTTAAAATGTTGAGCAGACCTTCAAAGATGTGTGACTACCACCCCAAATAAAGCCTTCATGGTCTGTCCTCCTGAGAAATGGGGGGGGGGGAGTTCTCAGGATCCTAGTCCCATCCATCTCCATAATCCTATGATTCTATTACTATTGTTGGCTTCCGTGGTTTATGAATATGTTTATTCTGCTTGGAGTGGTTTTGTTTTAAATGAATTTTAGAGTCCTTGGGTTGAATCCAGAGTTCAGGAGATGTAACAGGCCTGTAGGATGCTGGTTACCTGGCTTCTCCTCCCCATGGGAGGCCCTGATTGAAAAAAAAATTAGGGGCAGTGTAGCCTGATAAATTGTTTTCCCCGCCCCCTAGTGCACAGCCCACTCCATTCAGTAGGAACCACCAATCCTCAGCCCACACTAACCTGCCCATTTCTGAAGATCTGCATCAGGAGACCTGCTGTGGTTGCTGCTGCCTTCAGAACTGCAGGTGCTGGCCACTGGAAGCGAAGCCTTCTTAGTGGTGGCACCCCAGTTGTGGGGTGCCATTTCCCAGGATGCTCTATTGGTGCTGACTCTGTTTTCCTTTCGCCAGCCTGTCAAAACTTATTTTGTTGTCCGGGGCTTTTAATGGGAAAGTTTTAACTGTGCGTTGATTGCTGCCTTTATGAGGTGCTCCTTCGCATGTCTACTCAGAGGTAAGCCCCACTTAATTTGATGGGATTTACTCCCAGGCAGATGAGAATAGGAGTGCAGCCTCGCAGTTGGTGTAATTTCAATTGGGGGTTTAAATTTATAAATTGTTTAATATGCGAATTAAACAAATTAAGCTCCTCCCACCCACTTCCCCTGCTTTTCCATTATAGCATTGTTCCGGGTGCCTTGGAAGCTTCTATTGAAAGGTGGCCTTGGAAAATTAGAAATAAAATAAACAGGTCGTCGTAGGTTTCCCTTGAGCCAAGGGAAAGTTAAACATAAGCAACTGTAAAGCAGGAGGGAATGGGTTGTTACTTTATATATACTTTCAGGAATGTTTATTATAGGGCGAGCAGTTGCACAACTCCTATCTACTTCAAAACTAAAACATGGCCTGTATCTTTTGCTGCCAGGAAAGAACATGTAGCTACCTCCAAAATACAACATGGCAAAATACCAAAACAACAACAAAACAAAAAAACCTTTCTTCATGTGATGGTTTACTTTTCTTGGTGGAGGGGCTGCAGTTGCAGGCTGAGGGCAGTCAACAGGAGCAAATCTTAAACTCAGTTCTCCGTGTTTCCATGTTAGTCTACTATTTTTCTTCTTCTAAAAGTCTCCACGAAAACTCATCCACATTTTAGCACACATATCTGCTAGCCTACATATTCTCGTGTGCAACTTCCCCTAATACAGTCATACCTCGGGTTACAGACGCTTCAGGTTGCGTTTTTTCGGGTTACGGATGCACCAAAATCCAGAAGTACCGGAACGGGTTACTTCCGGGTTCCGGCGGTCATGCATGCGCAGAAGCGCTAAATTGTGCTTTGCACATGCGCAGAAGCGCCGAATCGCAACCCGCGCATGCGCACACGTGGCACTGCAGGTTGCGAACGTGCTTCCCGCACGGATCATGTTCGCAACCCGAGTGTCCACTGTACAGACATTCTTACAAAGCAATGTAATGTATTTTTGCATGTCGTTCTCACTAATAGGTGGAATCTAGACACATATTAAAAACTCAGTGAAAATGCTTTTTTTAAAAGCGTTTTGAAAAATATATTGAATTTGCCATAAGCTCACCATCGCCATCTCGTGTCACATTTGTATAATGCACTTAAAACACACTTAAAACGTTATATTTGCAGCTGTATAGCTGAGTCCATAGATGCATTTCAATGCCCACTTCTGGGCCATATGTATTTTTGTACATGTTCCTTGGCTGAAGATCCTGCATTGCAAAATTCAAAGAAATGCGAATTTCAAAGGATGGCTTTATTTCAGTATACAAGCAGTTTGGGGAAATGCATAGTGAGTAGATTTGCCTTTAAATGTGAACTGAAAAGATCTGGAGAACACCAGGTTGGGGAAAGCTAAGTTAGAACATCTCGAAAGTGAGGCAAGAACCTATTGCAACAAGTATCAACCTCCCATTTGGATTGCTGTAATGTTTTGCACATGGGGCCACCCTTGAAGATCATCCAAAAGCCAGAATGTGACTGCCAGAATGTTAATCACTTCTAAAGTTGCATTAGCTTCATACCCCCATCTGGGCCAAATCCATCACAAAAATGTAACATCAATTGAAAACATCAGTAAAGTCTGGGGGTAAAACAAACACTGTCCAAAGGCCTGCCTGAACTTCACGGATTTTGTAAGACAGGCATAGGCAAACTCGGCCTTCCAGATGTTTTGGGACTACAATTCCCATCATCCCTGACCTCTGGTCCTGCTAGCTAGGGATGAAGGGAGCTGTAGGCTCAAAAAATCTGGAGGGCCGAGTTTGTTGTAAGACATCTAACAGAAAGCAGGCACAACTCCTGCCTGTCCTCAATTGGCAAGGAGTTCCACAGGGCAGGGCCTGCCACATTAAAGGCTCAGTCCTTTGTGAAGGCCAACTGAACCTCAAGGGCATAGATGATCACCCAAATGCCCCATCAGATCTCAGCGATGGGGGTGGAGCATAAGGAATTAAGCAGTCCTTCTTTTGGCCCAAGCACTTTAGGGCTTTGTGAATTCACACCAAAACCTTGAAGCTGGTTCAGACCCTATTTGAAGAAGGAGTTGCTCAGCAGCCTACAGGATCGGGCCTTGGTGTGGTCCCCCTGCCCTTTGGCTCTTAAAGTTATTCACCCATCACCTGCTGGCGGCTCCATCCCAGCTGGGATATGGCAAGCAAAGTTCATAGAAGGAAACACTCTTCTGACGAAGAGCCATAAAACAACAAAGATGTCAATGTTTTCTGGGCGGAGGCATTTCTTTGGAGCTATCACACTTCACAAACTGCCTAGGGGGTTGTCACCATCCTAGCCAGTGCCAATATACCTTAGTTATTCAATAACTAGAGGGCATCCTTTAAAAATCCAGCTCCGTCGCTGTCAAGCCAGTCCGCCCTGACATTCCAAGTGAGAACCAGAATCGTGACTCACCATGAACACCTACCTGGTGGCCACAGTCTGCCTGAGTGTGCTGGCCATCCTCTCAGATGGGGTCGAAGTCAAGGTAAGAGTTGTGGAATCCTCCCAGGATCGCCGTTCTGCCCTTATGGCATCACCTTGAAGGAGAGGGCTGTAGATCAGTGGCTAGAGAACTTGATTCCTAGATGCCTTTGGTCCCAGGTTGAATCCTTGGCATCTCAAAACAGGGTGGAGATAGACCTTTCCCAAAGACGCTGGGCAGCTACTGCCCATCAGTGTAGGTGACAGTGAGATAATAAGTAATAATGTTCTGACCTGATACAGGGCAGCTTCCTTTGTTCATATTTGGACAGCTTTCCATTTAGATCCACAAGAACTGGAATCTTTAGTTTTAAGGGAATGGACTATAGCAGAGGATTAGAGCATCGGCTTTGCAAGAGAAAGCTCCCAGGTTCAGTCCTTGCCATCTCCAGGAAGAGACCCCAATCTAGAACCCCGGAGAGCTGCTGCCAGTCTGCATAGACCAGGGTTTCCCAAACTTGGGTCTCCAGCAGTTGTTGGACTACAACTCCCAAGTGTGGGGAGCACTGGTATAGATTATACTGAAACAGATGGGCCAATAATCTGATTCACTAGAGGGCAGCTGCTTATTGATCACATTGGGCTTTAAGTCTGGGAGGTCTTAGATCCTGTGCATGTCCACTAAGAGGTGAACTTCTATAGTCTTAGTTGAGGGAGGCGAAACAAAGGAGACCCCTAAAGGAATAGCTTACAGCAAATAGTGGGTCCAGTTAATCATTTATCAAAAGATATGTACACAGTCAGACTATTAGCAGGAATTAGCAGTGAATTTACCAAGCAGCCACATGGCCACTATTATTGAAGATTATTTTTCCTCTCTCTTCTTTGCTCTGTTCTGAAATCCACCCCACCCAAATACTGGGAGAATCCCTAAAACAAATTGTGGATTTGGACCTCGCACAGTTGGACACACCCTTCCCATCACACCATTTACATGCCTTTCTCCTCCTTGCCTTATTGTTGGGCATCGAAAAACAACCACACTGCAACAAAGCAATTTCGATGAGGCTGTACTGTGTGGTTGCCTGGAGATTCTTTCTCTGTTGTGTTTGAGCTGGTGTGCACACACATGGCAGCATATTGATAAAACACCCCATGAAAAGAATCTTGATACAGCTGGATGCACATTGGCAGGGCAGGGGACAATTTTCAGCCAGAGGGCCACACCTCTATTGCATAAACTTCTAGGGGCCACATGATGGTGGGGAGAGAATCAGAGGAAAAAATTGGTGGAGAAATGAATGTAGATTTTACCTTTGGGGCTCATTTCTACACACACACACACACACACACACACACACACACCTACCTCTGTATTTTATAGAAGATGGGGGCGGGTGAGTTCATGTGGAAACTAGCCTAATGTACAAACATAAAATTTGGCCCCTGGAAAGTTGTCCACAGAGGAATGTGGACCTTGGGCTGATTTATTTTTTTTTAAGGTTACCTGTTCTACTGTAGCTTTATAGAGGGTTTGTGCATTGTTAGTTTTTAGGCAGGCTAGGCTCCTTGTAGAGCACAGGATTTGATCAGTCAGCACAGCCTTGGAGGATGGTCTTCTGAGAACAGGCCTCTATCTTTATTGCTTTGCAAATACATGCTGTGCAAGGATAAGCCTTGCCTTTGAAATTTCCCAGCCAAGGGATTTGCTTGAAGAGCAGGTTCCTTCACACAAACACACACAGGTTTCTAAGTTACAGTTTGACCTTTTCAATGGGTCTCCGTGCATGAGGATGTTCTTGGCAAGGCTCTAATGTGCAGTGGTGGCTGGTGGGGCAGAAGGCAAGGGGACGACAACAGTAGGAGGAGACAGACCCAATGGCACACAGTGCCCAATAATTCTGTTTGTCCCTCTGATGAATTCTGTAAGGGCAGATTACAGCAGATCCCAATGTCTTCCCCCTCCTTCTTCCTAATGTAGATCTTCCTTCACCCCTTCTTCCCTGGGACAGATGGAGGCACTATTTGGGGGTCTACCTCAGGTGCCAAAATGTATCGGGCCAGCCCTGGCACCGAGACTGGGGAGGAGGGAGAAGGAACCTATTACATGCCCTCCCGTGGGCAAGTGATGGTGATACTCTGTTCTAATTTCCCCTGGGCAGGTGGGAGACTACGTATTCCCCTTGGAATCAGTGAAGCAGCTGGAGGGCTTCTTCAAGGAGAGATCCAAGAACCTACGCATGCGCATGGGTGCCACATTTGGCGCGTGCAAAGACCCGAAAATGCCCACAGAGTTTGCACCACTCTGTGCATCCCCCAGAGCAGGAATACTGCTCCGACAACTAGGTATGTGGTGATGGTCAAGTGCATGCATGAGAAGGTGGGATGACTCCTCAGCCTTGAACAGCCAGACATAAGAGGCATATTCCAGATGGGCCTCTGTGCAAGTTTGCTTTGCAGCTAGAATATCAGACCAGCCCTGCTCATCTTGCCCAATGTCCTGTTCTCACAGTGACCAACCAGATGCCTGGGGGAAGCCCAGAAGCAGGACCAATGAGCCCAAGACCCCTCTTCCCATCTGCAATTCTCAGATGCTGGTACTCAGAGGCATGCCACCTCTACTTGGGGAGTGAAAAACTAGTAGCCATTGATAACCTCACCCTCCATTGATTTGTCTGATCCTCTTGTAAAGCTGTCCAAGTTGGTAGACCTCACTGCCTCTTGTGGGAGCGAATCCCCCCAGTTTAACAGTTGACTCCTTGAAGGAAATGCTTTATCTAGACCCATGGTTCCCAACATGGGGTACATGCCCCACAGGAGGGCAATTTGATTTTTAAAGGGGGCAATTTGAGAATGAGTCATTAACAGTTAATGACCTTTTAGGCTTCCTCCACATGAATTCACATTTGGAAGAATAAGAATTATATATCACCAGTGGGGGGGGGGTCAGGATTTTAGAGATGCTTGGGGGGGCATGGCCAAAAGAAAGGTTCGGAACCACCAATCTAGACTGTCCTGAATCTTCCAACATTTAGCCTCATTGGATGGCCCCACTGGGTTCTAAAATTACAAGAGAGGAAGGCAAACTTTGATCCAGCAGAGATCTTCTGGGGTCTTATTCCTCTTCCTCTCCTCGAATGGCTTTGAAGGGGGGTTTGACAAATTCATGGGAGAAGAAGGCTATAAATGGCTACTTGCCACAATGGCTGTGCTCTGTCTCCACTGCAACATTTTCCAGAGGAGTAACCAGGGCTGTCTTAAGCATATGTGGGCCAGGGTGCAAAGATCCACCCGATGCCCCCCCCCCAGGATGCCCAGTCCCAGGTACGCAGGAGGGCAGAGTCAGCCAGCTGCCTCAGCGTCTCGCTGGCTCGGTCGCCCCTGAACTCGCAGCGCAGAGCCGCCCATAGCAGAAGAGCCTGGCGTTCCAACCAGAGGGTGGGCTCTTCTCCAGACTCAACTCTCGGGCCCCGGACTCTGGGCCTGGTGCCCCTGAGAGCCCAGCACCCAGGTGCCCCACATCCCTAGTGCATATGGGTAAGACGGCCCTGTTTGTATGTTGCTGCACAAACAAGATAATTTTCTTGTGACACCTTGAAGAGTAACAAGCTTATGCTGGGGACTAGTCTTCAAAAGGTTATGTCATAATAAATGTGTCAGACTCTAAAGTGCCTCTAGATTCCCTGTTGTTATTTTCCTACTTGCTAGGTGACAGGAACTGGGCAGAGGAGGAATGGTGGAGACAGCCTCCCCACCCTGACCCTTCCAGAAAAGAAGACAGTTCAGAATTGCAACAGGGGTTTGAGGGAGGTCACAGCTCAGAGGCAGATGAGGCGGAAACCTGGGAAATAATGGGAGAGGAGGAGGAGGGAGAGGACGCACCGGGGGGGGGGTGGACAGCTGACAGACACAGTGTCTTTAGAAAGCATTCCATACCCTCCCTCCCAGACCTGGCGAGCCTTGAAATTAGGAGAGCAAAGAGCTCAGAGAAAAAGTGCCCAAGGGCACCTATAGGGGAAGTGATGACAATGACGAATGAGGAAGGGGGTGGAGAGTCACTCAGGACAACACCATTATCCAAGAGGTTGTGTTCCAAAGCATCTCTCTGTAAATATTGAATAAAAAGCGGAAGGTAACAAACTTTTCCTTGTCTTTGTACATCCCTGGCAACCAGCTGTGGGAGTTGCTTACAGCCGCCTGACACTAGGAAGTGAGACCTCCCTCTTAATAGGCTTCCTAACCAGTGCTACCCTCCTTCTCAATAGGCTTCCTAACCCGGATCGAGGCCAGATCTAGGCCAGGGATGAGGAAACCGAAGCCTTCCAGATGTTCTTGAACTACACTTCCCATCATTAGTGGCCATTGGCCATGCTGGCCGGTGATGATGGCAGCTGAAGTCCAACATCTGGAGGCCTAGAGGTTCCCCATCCCTGGTGTAGGGACATGGTTGAGATGATTAGAGGTGAAGCCCCAGAGGTACACATGGATCCCTCCCCTCTCAGTCCCAATTGGAGTACTTGAGTCACCCAAAGAGTCTTTCTTTTTCTTTGCTTCAGAAATGATCAGCGCAGATGCTGCGACCTGTGAGATTTGTGCCAACGTTGCCTGCTCTGGATGCTAATGAAGAAGACCACCACCATCTCTGCTGGCTTTCTAAGTGGATCCTGACAACTGGCCCTTGCTGCTACTGCTGCCTTTTCCTCATCCAAACCAACAGAGGACACCTCTGCCCACTTGTACAGATTGGCTGGGCCATTGTGTCCCTGCTGCTGCTACCCAGCCTTGGCTTCCTGGACCCCATCCCTAAAACCTCTATGAGCACAATTCAGAGTCCATGTCGGAGGGAAGAGTGCAAGGGACAGGAAGTTGGGCTGGGGAAGGAAGGAGGATGGTTGAAAGGAAGGTGATTGGTCACTGCAAAAAATAATAATAACGACATCAGTTCCATGTAATTTTTCTTCTGCTTTTTTAAAATTGAAAACCAGCTGTGTGAGTTTGCAAATGGGAACAGGAAAGAAAGGGTGGGGAGAGGAAGCTTTTGTTGCCAGACATGTTTCCTAGTCAAAATCAAGACTTGGTTGTATTTCCCCCTGAACAGGCTCCAGATACATTTTCCCCTATAGAAAGAAAAGTAGCTGGGGTGAGATTTTGAGCAAAAGGGACAATCTGGCTCCCCTCTCCTCTACTTACTCTTCCCTCAAGATTACAACCTCCTGCAGCTGATTCTCAATGAGAAGTAATATTACATCTCAGGAATGTTAGATGCCGCCTAAAGTCATTTTTTCACCCCTCACACTGCCATTCTTAGGTCAGTTCTCCACATTTCTGCACCAGTTTGTCATTTTAAAAAGCACTTGTGAAAATTCACCAGGATTTTGGTGCAAATTTCTCTTAAAATGCACACATTCCCATGCGATTTCCCCTAATGTGAATATTTTTTTGCAAAGCAATTTTCCCTAATATAATGCATTTCTGCCTACTATTTTCACTGTTGTAGGCAGCTTATCCTTACTTTGGCCTAGTATACATTGTTTTGGCTTGAGAGCTGCATTGCAAAATGTAGAGGGGTACGGATCTTGAACAATGGCTGTGCTTCAGCTAGGAAAGCACAAATCAGGCACCTTAAGCTTTAAATGCAAACTGAACTGAACCGAATATCTCCCCTATCGCAACCCAGTAGCCAGTTTCTGCCCATCAGCTTTGGGGTGCATTGCAGTGGAGTATAGTGGTAGCAGAGAGGAACCAGAAATCCCAATTTCTTTCCAGCATATTCCTTCCATCCCCAGCAAACCTTTCCTTTTTCCCATGGTCTCCCTCTTCCTCTCCTCAGAGGCGGTTGATTTGGATGATGCCCCTGCTTCTTGATAGCCACACATTTTAAAATGAAATCAATATGCAGACTAAAACACTGTGTAGCCCACATAACACTTCTATTTGAGTTTAAATACCCTTTTGTTCTCTGTTGGTGATTTGGTCGTTTGGTTTTGATGGCGATCTCTTAAGCAAAACTGGCTTCTGACTTGCAAAACTGGCTTCCTCGTGGATATCCCTGTTTGGTGTGTCCAAAATAAAGATTTCCAGTGCACTGGTGCTCTCTGCCTTTACTACTTTGATGTGAAAATGGTTTGGCTCATTTAATTATTACAGTCATTTTATACCCCTGCCCATCTAGCTGGTTTTCGCCAGCCCCATTTTCCCAAAAATTCCCTGTTGCAAGGAAAAAACTCTCTCCATGTAGGTATTATTACTTAATAATAATAATAATCATCATAGGTAAAGGTAAAGGTACCCCTGCCCGTACGGGCCAGTCTTGACAGACTCTAGGGTTGTGCGCTCATCTCACTCTATAGGCCGGGAGCCAGCGCTGTCCGCAGACACTTCCGGGTCACGTCGCCAGTGTGACAAGCTGCATCTGGCGAGCCAGCGCAGCACACGGAACGCCGTTTACCTTCCCGCTGGTAAGTGGTCCCTATTTATCTACTTGCACCCGGGGGTGCTTTCGAACTGCTAGGTTGGCAGGCGCTGGGACCGAACGACGGGAGCGCACCCCGCCATGGGGATTCGAACCGCCGGCCATGTGATTGGCAAGTCCTAGGCGCTGAGGCTTTAACCCACAGTGCCACCCGCGTCCCTAATAATAATCATACTAATGCCAAATTATTATTTATACCCCACCCACTTGGCTGGGTTTCCCCAGCCACTCTGGGTGGCTCCCAACAGAATATTAAAAACCACGAGAAAACATCAAATGTTAAAAACTTCCCTAAACAGGACTGCCTTCAGATGTCTTCTAAAAGTCAGATAGTTGTTTGTTTTCTTGACATCTGATGGGTGGGTGTTCCACAGGGCGGGTGCCACTTCCGAGAAGGCCCTCTGCCTGGTTCCCTGTAACATCACATCTTGCAGGGAGGGAATCTCCAGAAGGCCCAAGGAGCTGGACCTCAGTGTCCGGGCTGAACGATGGGGTTGGAGACGCTCCTTCAGGTATGCTGGGCCGAGGCCGTTTAGGGCTTTAAAGGTCAACACCAACACTTTGAATTGTGTTCGGAAACGTACTGGGAGCCAATGTAGGTCTTTCAGGACTGGTGTTATATGGTCTCAGTGGCCGCTCCCAGTCACCAGTCTAGCTGCCGCATTCTGGATTAGTTGTAGTTTCGGCGTCACCTTCAAAGGTAGAGTGCATTGCTGTTTTGCATGTGGACAGCTTTATCTCCAGCAACTCCAGGTGGGTCTGGAAGAGGCCCCAGTCTGAAAGCCCAGATATATACCACCAGTCCCTATGTAACCTTAATCGCATCCATCTGTTTCAAGCGACATTGGAGTGCATCTCTGGGGGTGAAGTCAAACCACTGTGTTAGCATCTCTGAAGTGACTTTCCCAGGGTGTAAGCCTGTGCAGTGTGTATGGAGTTCCTGGGCTGCCCAGACGAGAAGACATCCCCCCCCACCCCCGGTCTCACTGATGTGACCAAAGGAAAGCAGAGTAATACATTTGGGACCAGTTTGGCTGCAGAAGTTGCTGGAAGGAGGCGTACAAAGCACCATCCAGCCAATTTAGGGACTCCACTCTGGAATTGTGTAGTGTTTGCTCCTTACACATCTCCCAAAGTTGTCCCGCAATGCATGGGTACAAAATTTTCCTCTGGGTTTACTTCTGAATACTTTCTCATGAATGAGCATAGCCAAGAGGCAGGGGAACTTTAGGATCAGAGCTTTCCTTCTCCTGATAAGCTACCTTGCCAAGTTGATGGACCCCATCTGCCCCTCACTTCCCTCTGCGGAACATGCAGAATAATAATAATAATAATAATAATAATAATAATAATAATAATAATAAAATTATTTATATCCCGCCCTCCCCAGCTGAAGCCGGGCTCAGAGCGGCTAACAACAACAACAGAAACTGCCTTCTTGATTGTTGGTCTTGCCTTCTCAACCTGCAGTATTGCGCTAAATGGATCAATTGCATGTCTCAGTATAAGGGAAAGGGAAAGGGACCCCTGACTATTAGGTCCAGTCGTGGCCAACTCTGGGGTTGCGGCGCTCATCTCACTTTATTGGCCAAGTGAGCCGGCGTACAGCTTGCGGGTCATGTGGCCAGCTGCTTCTGGCGAACCAGAGCAGCACACGGAAACGCCGTTTACCTTCCTGCCAGAGCAGTACCTATTTATCTACTTGCACTTTGACGTGCTTTCGAACTGCTAGGTTGGCAGGAGCAGGGACCAAGCAACCGGAGCTCACCCCGTTGCGGGGATTCGAACCACTGACCTTCTGATCGGCAAGTCCTAGGCTCTGTGGTTTAACCCACAGCGCCACCCGCGTCCCTATCCAGTATAAGGTAGCTTCCTTTATATATTCTCAACCCTGTTTGTGGGCAAAACAAATAAATGAATAAACGGGAGGTAACACTTTCACCAAATTTCCCGGGGTGGGGAGGGGAGGAGAAATTATCCCAATAGCTTCTCAAAGGTAATTCTTCACAGCAAGCGTACTTTCATGATTACAAATTGGGAAACGAAACAATACAACTCTCTCCCCATGTGTGCGGCTGTGCACGTACATGCATGCCCATGTATACAAAAGAGCTACCTAGGATGAAAAGAGATGAGCTGAATTCAATAAAGCTAATGCAACTGGAATGCAGAAAACAGTTCATTCAGGAATGTGTTGACTCAGCTCAGATTAGGATATGCAAACACTGGACCGGAGGCAGGCATGGCACAACGGCAGCTGAGGGATGGGGGCCCCAACATTAAGAATGCAAGGAGAGCCTGCTGGATCAGATCAGTGTCCCATCTAGTCCACCTTATTGTCCTCGCAGTCGCCAACCAGATGCCTGCCAGAGACCTGCAAGAAGGTTTCAGAGCACAGGAATATTCTCAGCAGCAGATGCCCAGATCCATAATGCTCCTGATAGTGGAGGTAGAACATAGGACACTGATTGACTTCTCCAAAACCCTGACATTGTCTGATTCACTCAAAAACAGTGCTGAACACCTGCAAATCACCCCTGCAACATTTGGGGGTGCGAACCCCACGTTTCACAGTAGTCCGTAAAACAAGCCCTTGGCACTCTAATCCGCAGGGTCATGATTTCGCCAAAAGCCTGTAGTTGTCCGATTCACTCAAAAATGGTGCCAAATCCTACATTTGATGGTAGGTCATAAAATGAGCCCTTGGTGGCGCAGGTAACCCTAGCCTCTGTCCCTCTTTCCTTCCCTCCCAAGTTAACAAGACAAGAATAACCAGCAGATCTGGGACATCCCTGTTACTGTGTAAGAGAAAGGAAAGGTAGTTTTACTTATTCTTTTCCTCCCAAATCTGTTATTATTTTTACATATTTATACAAGAATCAACATTCAATATTCAACCATCCTGCCCCTGTCCCCAAATAAGCACCAAATGTTTATTTTATTTCATTACATTTAACATTTAAGTCATTTCAGTTTTTAAATAAAGGTACCATTCCAAAAATCATCATGTGTCCATGGAGGCTTATAACCATGTTCCATCAATGCTGCATATGTAATAAATCTATGACATAAGATTCAACTGCAATTCTTTACACGAAATGAGATTTAACATCTTGAATTTCAAGCAGCACAGCATTGTATCCTGCTGAGTTAGAATAGACCCGTTGAAATTGATGGACCTAAGTTAGTTGGACCGATGTTGGATACAACCCAAAATGTCATTGGCTGAGCCAGCTAAGGATGCTCCATCTTCCCTAATATGTGTCTCCTCTTTCATTGCTGGTGCTTTTCACCCAGCCACAAACCCATGAACTAAGCAGAAGTATTGACGAGGTTGTGCGCATGTAACCACATATTCATTTGAGATTTGTGCATGAACAACATAGAAGTGCTAATCTTTTAACAGTTGCTACAATGACCAGGTAACGGAAGGGTCAAACACCCAGCAGGAGATGCCTTCTCCATGTGAGAAGGGATGTTTTGTTGATGGCTGTCATTGACAAGAGCAATGCACGCACTGAAACACAGTTCAGAAATAGTTGAAAAGTAGGACACAGTCGCTGAATCAGGAAGGGCAGTAAACATGAAAGCTCTGGGGAGGTTTGCCTAGAATTGCCACATCTCAGAAATTGATGTGAAGATTCAGGAGAGCTAAAAGAACATGGCTGCTCCTTCCACACCTCAGCAGGAAGGAAGGAGAGAACAAGACAAGGGCACAATCAGAAATCTCGGGTCTTCTGCTAGCTTTTGCTAATTGATCCTTCTGCCAGGCCCATCATCTACCACCATCAATAACAGCTAGTGCAGGCAGCATTGGCACAGATATCACACAGAGCAATGTTGGGCACAGCAAGATCTGTTCAAGAAAGAGAAAAGACCAGGTTGGTTGTTTCATGATGTTATAAGTGATGCTTAAACAGACACTCACATTCCCTGTGGATGAAGGTGGTTGGGGGTGGAGAGCTAGCTAGAATGCACATTTTGTTTCAAATACCTATGATCTCTCTTCAGCTGCATGTTTCCGTAAAGAGTGCACAGGAGGTACACATCCTGGATTCAATCACCATTGTAGCATCCCTTCAGATGATGCCCATGATGAGAGCTGCTCCCCACAGACGGCTCCTGGAGAACTGTCCTCCTATAACTTATGCCAGGGGTCACCAAGGGGATGCCCATGGGCACCATGGTGCCCTTGAGGTTTTCCCCTGGTGCCCACAAAGATGTCCATCCCCAACTTCCTCCCTGCCACATTTTCTAAAGGGATAATGGAGGATGCTACAAGGAGGGTGCTTGTTTCCAGTGCCTCGTAAGTGTGAAGGCAGGCTGGCGGAAGGCAGACAGGTTGGTTGAGCAGCACCCCGTTTGCCCAAAAGGACAAGCCTCCACAGGTTTCAGCTTTTAATGCCCACAACCCCACCCTTCCATGTGAAAGGAAACAGGGACTTCCAATGAGACAAAGCAAGGAGATCAGGAGCCCTCACAACTCACCAAGCCTCTTGAAATTGGGGGGGCATATTTCCCTTTACAGATACCCTGGAATTCTTCCGGCAGCTCTGGGTTTCCACAGAGAGTAAAGAAGGTGAGCTGGCTCCTCGTGTGGAGGGGGGCAGATCCCG